GCATTTTATTGAAGAGAAATTCTACAGAATCATTTCCATATTTATATACTTAACGGATTGATAATATTTTTAATTCCATATTTCCATATAATTATTGTTTTTTTTTTTTTTACTTAAATATTGTTTATTTATTTAAATATTTCAATAATACGGAATCTTCAGCAGTAACGCAATTAAATAATGTACATATATACTACGTAGTATGTATGTATGTATAACTTGAATTGTTTCACAAATATATGTACATACATACATATGTATGTTGCAATTCGCTGCCCGACATAAATTTATCTGATTTTAAAACAATATTTTAAGGAATTATTTCTATGGGAGGGTCGCTTTAGGAGCGAATGGGAAGAGAGCCTAGTCTTGTGCCTGAATCGATGACTTCAAATTAAATCTCATTATGGGAACTGGGGCAAACTCGCGAGAGCTGTGACTCAACCTCAAATTTCTGTTGGCAAATTTATACAGTGTTTTTCAAGCAGAACTAACAGCAATCAACGAAAGTGTAAGGTCTTCTCTGTTAGTCAGGCAGCTATTAAAGCATTTGATTGTGATTAATTCACATCAAGGACAGTCATAGAGTATGGACGTAAGCTAAATGATCTGGCAAAGCCATCCGCCACACATTGTGCAGAACTGCCTGAGAATCTACTTGTCCCACGTTCTGACTTGTGCAATGTTCTCACTTAATCAGCAACGCCACGCATTTGGCTCAGGTGTAAATGTGCTAATGTTGTTATCACATTTTTTTCTTCTAGTCATTTTCTGATTAAAAAATTTTTGTATTTCTTTTTATCTAAGTAACAAATTCTTCTTAGTGTTAATGTACTTGTGTACGCGTATGTACATTGACATTGAATAACAATGATAACGTATTGAAGTATGTAAAAAAGGAAGAAGGAGACAAAATAAAAAACGACAAAAGATGTGTACATAGACATATGCATATGTATGTACTAAATATATGTATGTGTATAAAAACACAAATAAAAATTATTATTTATATGTAATTGTATGGGTAGGGACACCTTTGCTTATTGGCAAAGCTGATCACTGAATATGAGTTTGTGACAAGCATGGAAATTGCGCTAATTTAAAAGTCCAATAAAAGCTAGATGACAAAAGCAGAAATTATTTAAAAGTGCGCATCAGAGGAAAGTATTTAGAAAAGGCAATAAAAAATCTGAGTTACTTATAATGAAAATAGTAAGCAAAACGGTGACTTACTCCGACCGTCACTGGTATAAACGCGTAAATCATTTGGCTTAATTGTCCCAGAATACACCGCACCGCACCCCCAATTAAGTACATACATACGTACGTACACACGCCCTCTGACAACGAATCGCAGGCGCACCTAAACGCTGCGCGATCATTCACAAATTCATTCGGTCGGGAAGTCAACGCGCGAATACACCAACAATAGACACGCGTTTCCAGTGAACGATTTCTTTAATCGCTCGAGGCTCGCTACATGTGTACGTTTATAGTATCTAGGTGATCTTTATACTATATGTATGTAAATACATACATACTTACTCGTGCACCTACATAGGTGGACATACATAAATGCAATCATTCTTACCACCTATCCATTTAGTCGAATAATCAATTTGTCAGTGCGTTAACTTGTCAATCAATAGCCCTGTGTTTCGCATTCTGATGATGATCAGTCGAAATTTCGGTATCGCAGAGCACTTCGTACATACATACACACATGTGTACATATCGCACACCTAGATCTAAAGTGAGCTAACTCAAAATTCATAGTGGGAAATATAATTGCTTGTGGATCGTACCGATTCAACGCAATTAATAAAAAAAACAGGTATAATAGTAGTTATTTAGTTAATGTATAAAATCATGACGAAAAAACTGTTTACATTAATTGGATGTAAGTCCTATGAAATGATTTATGCAAAAAAAATAGCGCAACAATTTTTTGAGTTGATCGCACTTTGGATCTAGGTGTGCGATATATACAAATGTATGTATGTACATATGTAAATATGTATATAAATGACATCTCTTTTTGTTGCCGTAGTTAGTATATTTATATTTGTACAGATGTATAGCAGCGTGAGTGAGTCGCTGAACGCGCGCGTTATTGAGTATTTTTTTTTTTAATATTATTGTAGGTTGGTGATACGATAGCAACAACAAAAGCATAATAAATACGTAAAACAAATCGCTAAACTCGAATTTTCGCCTTGCCGATTTTTGTCAAATACACGAATTTTCTCGTTGAGCGTGTGCCAGTCGTAAAAAGTCAGCTCTCGTGTTGCAAACGGATCAACGGTAGCAAACGCAACAGTAGCAATAAAATGTGATTATGATAATAAATTTGTTAGCGCGCTTGTCAAAAAACCCGTTACAAGACAGAGGAAAATGAAACAATAGTATGTGGAGCAAAATAAAATAAAATAAAAAGTTATATAATCAAGGATACAAAAAAAAATTGAATAAATATAACTGCAATAAAAATTATGCAAACTAAAATTTAAATAAAATAAAAAAGTTTAAAATAAAATGATATACTATATAATATAATAAAAAATAAATAAATAAAATAAAATATAAATTTGTTAAATAGAATATAATAAAGTAAAATAAAATAACAAAATAATATAAAATCTAAAATGAGATACAATAAAATTATACAAAACATAGTGAAATAAAATAAAAATATAAAATATTGTAACATATGAAATAAATAAGTTTACTACAGGTCATGATCAAACAGTTTTAAGAAACCTATAAATAAATTAGAAAATTTAATAAAAAAGGGTGAAATAAAACAAAATGTTAATGATCAAAATAAGACCAAATAAAATAAAAAACTATATAAAATATAAAACAAAAAGTAGAACAAAAATTAAGTAAAACAATATATAAAGGAAAATAAGAAAAATAAAATAAATAATGCATCATGAAATATGGTAAAACAAAATAAAAATAAATTAATTAATAAGTGAAGTAAAATTAAATAAAATTAAAAATATATCTTCTAAAAAAGATAAAAAATAAAAAAGAAAACATAAAAAGAAATAAAATAAAAATAAACAAAATAATAGAAAAATTTTTAAGGTAAAATGTAACACTTGAACTAAACGTGAAGCACAGATTTTTGTACTGAAAATCTGTGGTTAAGTGCCGATTCTGAGTTAACTTCGCACTGTGATTTTGGCCCTAAAAAAAATTATATAACTGATAGAATAAAAAATTTGTGAAAAAATAAAACAATCAAAAGACAAAATGAATAACATAAAACGAAATAAAAAAATTAATAATTAAAAATAAAACAAAATGAATTAGGTAAAGGTAAAATAAAAAAATTAAAACGCAAATAAAAAATAAAATAAGACAAAAAAAGTTAATAAATTTGATAAAATGAAGTGTCTCATCAAAAAATTTTTAAATAAAATAAAATGTAAATTAAATTAAAAGTAAAATAAATAAAACAAGATAATTAAAGAATAAAATAAACAAATTTAATAATAATAAGGAAATATGTACAAAAAATTGAGATAAAAAATAAATGAAAAAATATAATAAAACAAGTAATTTTAAAGCAAAAAAGAAAATCGACTTCAATTTTCGTATAAAAATTTAATTAACCGTTAATTTCGTTATGATCCAATAATCGGATGTAAACCCAATCTGGCTTTAAAAGATTATAGAAATCGGTTAACATGGCAAAGTTATCTGGTATCATAAACCCAAAAACAAATTCCGATGAATTGATAACTTCCTCTTTTTTTTGAAGTCGGTTATTAATAAATAATTTTAGTCAGATGCAGAACAGGACTTCATTTAGCAGTCTGAAAATTATTTTTAAAAGATAAATATTTTAATCCGGTAAACAATTGTAGTGGATTTCAATATAAAGAACTTAACAAATAAATATGTTTACAAATGAAACACAAATTTAAGCTTTATTGCTATTGGTGCAATTTTCCTCTTGGTAAATTTTCGTCTAACCAGCAGCATCCGCATATTCTTTAAAAGGCTCAAAAAGCAGGATTTGTATTTCCTAATTCGAGCTAACGTTCCAAAAGTGCTTCACATGCACACACAAATTTTGACAATTTAAACTTTTGTGCGAATTTGTAAACTAAATTTATCAAAATTATTTAAAAAAAAATCAAATTGACTGCTCTACTGCTACAAACTTACAACATACCTACCCAGTGGGAATTAGGAGCACGTAATAATACCTTATTAGCAACTCACTCTTCACCTGGCAGTCATTACCATTTCCCTGCCGAACGTCCCTTACTTTTACAAAGGCATGGCCGCCTTATGTAAGTAGGAATTTAGAATGTACATTTGGTATCAGACATACTTCTGAGCCGCTATACAAAGTAAGTTACGTGTAATGCAGAGAAGTCGCTCGGAGTAGTTCGGTGCTTGGAGATAACTTCGGCTGCACGTTACTTTGCAACTGACAACGTAATGTGTCGTTGGAGGTGTTCATTTTGTGCTTTACTAGTAGTTGACATTGGCCATGATGACAATTTTGGTACTAAAAACTGAAAGAAAACATGGCTTACCTCGTAAGGTGCTTACCTATTTTCCCAATGGGTAGCTTATTTATTTACCGGCAAGAGAGTATAAGCTCATGAAATGTGAATTGTCGTGCAAAACTTATTGTTGCCAAAGTTTTACAACTCACTATGGTCCCGCCTTACACTAAGAACATTAAAGAATGCATACGTACATATTTACAAATTTATGCATCTAATTAAGGACATCGTGCTAAAAAGTTTATGGAATATTGTTCTACCTGGCAAACAAGAAAAATCGTTAGCAACTAATTAAACTTTCTAATTAGAATAATTTAATTTGACGCACATGTGTATTGTCATCTTCGCTTACTTGTGAACAAGTTTTATTTTCAATTTACATACTTAGATTCACACCTACCTATATACATATATTTTAATACTAAATACAGTTTTTAATCTCGTCTTCATATGAACGTCATTCCACAGCTATCAGCACACAATTGATATACAGCAAAGGCAAAATCCTACAAAATAAAACAAAACCAAAATCAAGAGGCGCATTTCAAAATTGCCTCACTCTAGCAATTTGAAAGAGCATTTTTCCATCTACCAAAAGAACTAATACAAAAGAGGTAGCGATAAGCAAGGCATCGTCAGCAACAAATAGCCACGGCAGCGATAAACACAGACGGTTGTGCAGTTGTGCATAAAACTACGTTAGCGATCCCAATGCAACGGTCAGCAATTATTTCCAAACAATCATAGAACTTCTTCGCCATTCAGCCGCATCGAAAACAACGCAAAACATTCGTTACATATCTACTATTGGCATTATCAGCGCAGGAGCAAAAAAAAAATAAACAAAAATTACCAAAGCAATAACTTAGCAACAGTGCCAGTGTCAGTGTCAATAGTTGATTGTAAACTACTCGGCAGCATCAAAAGCGAAAGCAGTAAGCAGTAAACAGTGAGCGGCAGCAGCAGCAGCAGCATCCGTAGCAAATTCGAGCAACAAGTTCAAAAAATAAATAATAATAATAAAACATTAATAAGCAGCAAAAATGTTGAAAGCAAAAACGAATGATGATAAAGTGGATACACTGCTGACCAAGGGTCTGGTGCCGATAATTGATCTGGCTCATTGCGGTAAGCGTTATATATGTATGTATGTGTGGGCACATGTTGTTACATTTGTATATATGTATGTAAGAAATATTAGCGATTCACATGCTTGTAGTTGTGGTTGCATGTTGCCGCCATTGCTGTGCAATTAACAGAGCTCTCTCATGCAAAGGTGAATACTTATGTACGTATGTATGGGTATTTCCAAACTGGCGTTACGTGTTAATGTTACAAAAAAAAAATATTTAAAAAGTAAAAATTTTTTAAAAGATTTTCAAGATTTACATAGCAATTAAATGTCCCCTAATTCAGTAAAAAAAATACAACTATTGGTAGTAGCGATTTTTATGAAAGTCTTTGTAGTAGAATTGGTAAAGTTTAAGGTTAATTTTCCAATTTTTTTTAGATGTAGAAATATTGTCTGCTGTATGTTTAATCAGCTGTATTATCGACGCGACGTTACTAAAATTTCCATTGAAAAAGTTTTGTTAATATTGTTCTTGAAAGAATTTTTAACGAGAAGAGAACATGCATTTTATGTCGAGCGTACTTTTTATTTTGACATCAGCGCCACAAGCGACTCATTTTTTGCAAATCTATGTCTTATTTCGTTTCAACTAAACATGCCAAATATGAAACAAATCAAAGCATAAGCAAGGTTTTGAAAAATATCTCGACCCTGGCGCTACCTAACGAGACCATTTTTTTGCAAAAGTGTTTGTGCTTATATAGCCAGTAGATATATATTATAAATAGCAGCTAAATCGGCCTATAAACAAGCTAGATATAGGACTTTTAATTTTTTTTTTTACGCGTAAGACTTTTCGCTGGAATCGCCCATCCCATAAGTAAGTATGTATATACATATATGTACATACATATGCATATGTAGATGTACAATAAAGCTCAAATTACTACTTACGTATTTATGTATGCATATCTCTAATAGGAATGCTTATAAATTTATGTTTTCCGCTCACATCAATATAATGTAACTATCCAGTTGGAAACCGACAGCTCACGCCATACAAATCGTATGCCTACAGCCCGCGACAGAGCGGTAGCACCCTAACATTTTGAAAAGTTTTAACCATTTATCTTTTTTTTTTGTTTAATGTTCCTTATTTTTATATAAATGCATAGCTCTTTGTCTAACAAAAACCATATAAATCCAAATTTCAGACTTTATACAAAAGTTTAAAAAAATTCGACAATATTTTTAACGCAATTCCAAGCATTTTAGTTAGAATTTCTAGAATAATTTTTGGTATGTACACTCTAAAAAAAATTGTGTAAATTTCCTAGCTAAAAGCTAGGTAACTGATTTCCTACCTTATTATTCGCGAAATTACATGCTAGATTATTCAACGAATAGTTTGTTTAAATTTCGGACTTTTTAGAGTGTAATATAGCTGCTGTGGTGTGTGTAAATTTACTACAAAAGTGTGTACAAGCTACAAAATACACATCTGCTGTTTAATTTCACCCGTACAATTGTGTAAAGCTGCTAACAAAAAGGATTTTTACACGCGAAAATGTGTAAACGAGAAAAGTACATATTCGTCGTGTAAATTTACCAAAAAATTTAAAAAATAAACAAAATTATGCTCGATTTATAGTCGCATTTTTAAACAGATTTTTAAGAGTGTAGTTTTATAGCTTATTATTTTCTTGTAAAGTGCAATTTTGAAGCTGCTGAAAAAACGCTTTAATTTTTGATAATTGTTTTTTTTATGGGTTTTGTTAGATAAAGAGCTATACTTAATAAAAAACTCGCGAATCTTAAATCTTAAAAAACTGGGTTTCTCTTTTTTCCTCCTCTAATTAATGCCTATTTTTTTTAGAATGGTGGCTTTCAATTAAATACCTTTTTAAAAGAGCTAGTGGAATCAATGCATTCCTGGTATAATGTCAGGCTTCTAAACGAAACAGCATTGATGACATTGTCATCGCTGAGCTATGTATTTTCCAACTGGGTTTCTCTTAGCGTAAGTGAATGAATGAATGCGTCTCTGTTTATAGAATTATGCACGTGCAAGGCTGATTATCTATGTATAATTAGGTACATATATGTATGTAGTTGGTATTGTGCATAAATCTGCTTTGTCTTACGAGCCACTGCCGCTTGCTTTGCCTTGACTACATTATACATACACTGCTTATATTTATATCATATAATATATTAAAAATGTCGAATATATCGCAAGCATTTCTTAAAAGTGTAGATATTTAGTAAAAATTGCCATCGGAGATTTCACGACAGAGGTAGTCTTTAGATACCGAACAGTTTGCTAGGCACCCAATGTCTTAAATTATAGTCACAACCCTGGTCGATTGGCGCGGTTTTTGAGGATGACGTTTAGCGCCAGAGTGGCCCCAAGTTTCTACTGCTATAAACAAGGACGGTTTATTGTATTGTACTTCTTAATTAACGAAGCCTTCTCCGGCGCATACCACCCGAAAATAGCTCCTCAGAGCATAAAACCTTTGCTATGGCATTATAGAGCCAGGAAATAACTTCAGACGTATTTTCCCAAAGGTGAAGTTGAAGAGCACCACCTTCTGCAATGCCTCTGCGCATGCGCTAAACAAGCCTGACAAGATTCCCATCAAGCAGTGAACGCACCAGTGTTTTTTAACAGTAACAAAATAAATATATTTTAACAGCGAGAAAGTGGTTATTTTGTAATTCTTATTTTTCTTTTAAAAGATAATTATTATTGAGTTTTATTTTTTCACTTAAGAATAATGAGTATTAAAAAAACTCAAAAGCTACATCAAAGGGAACTCCGAAATATTCTTTTGAGAGAATGCGACACCCAAATAAAAAGAATAATTCTCAAAGATTTCAGGTCGAATTTTCAGTTAGTTGTGTCTGTATGGCTTTTTAAGAAATAAAAATTAAAAAATTACTTTTTCCTTTGAGCGAAAAATAAAACTCAATAGTAATTATTCTTTTTAACGAAAAAAAATAAATTGGGTTGTATGTGGAGCTTTTCGATAATTCAATATTAAAATATCAGACTTTCTGATGAAGGCGTGAAGAACGCCGAAACGTGTAGGAGAAAGAAGGAAAAAATTAATTTGGCATTTTTATTTTACCGGCCGAATAGCTCCGCATAAAACCCAATTCGAAAAAAATCATAAAATAACTCTTAAATGCCGATTTAAATGCTTTAAATTAATTTTTTATTTAAATAAGTCGATAAAAATTTGTCTGTCAGTACCCCAGATATAAAGATGTGGATTACGTATTTGCCTTATAAAATTAAAAATAAATTATACTTGCTGAATTCAGAGGGCTTCGCATAAAATTCAGAAACATTTCTTCTGCTTTCATGCAAACAATATTGAATATTGAAATTTGGACAGCAGTGTTGCCATATTCAGTTGTATGTAGCTATAAACTACCATTTTCTAGACACAGTTACAGTTTTTTCATGATAAAAACATTACAAGCTAAAATGATTCTCTCAATTCGTCGGCCAGAATTTTTTTCTGACGTTTGCAAGCATTTTAAAATCATAACAAATTGAAAATAAAAAAATTAAATTGTGAACAATGGTTGTTGTTTGAAATTTAAAATGAGAATGTGTATGTGAGTTTGAGATTTCAATTCTGAAATTATATTGCTGGCAAACGTCAGACTGCCCCTCAATGGTTTTAACTTCTAATATTTTTATCATGCAGTTTTTTAAGTCACACAGGACAAAATGTCTTTTTCGGTTTTTTGGAAGTAAATTTTTAAATTAAGAAAAACATTTTCTCTTGTATTTAAACATTTGGTCAGCTACATATATTACAGTATTAGTTTTCCAAAAATCCTATTGTTGATAAAGGCTATTTTTTGTTGTTGAACATACAAATTCTTAACAATTAACAATTTTAAGACTATTCTGCCTGAGTGAAAAAAGTTTGAATATATTCATAAGGAATGCTTGCAAAATATTTTACCACCCTTTGATTGGAAAATAGTTATTCAGGCATTAACATTTGTACATACGCAGTTATCTTTGTGGGTGAGTTTAATAATTTTTTTGAAACGTAATTCAATCAGATAAAAATTAAATCGCATTTAAGGTCATCGGTCATCATCATATAAATGTGTTTGCGTGTGTGATACATGCATGTACGTACATACATACATATGTACATATAAACTATATACAGCATTTTAATAAGCAAAAGTAATGAATAGCTTCATTATTACAATGCTTTGTTGATATGTATATACACATAAATGTATAAACCACACCCACATATTAAATAATAAATACTAAGTATGAAACAATAGAAATCCTTTACAAAAGCGGTTCCACTGAAAAGCGATTTTTTCAAAATTGCCATCTCTTCTTGGAATTTTTTTTAAACATAATTTTCGCGAGTTAGGTACACAGGTATTTGAATAAATATTATGAAATCAAGATAAGGGGTATTCACTAAATCGAGCAAGTGACCTAGCCCTCGGGGAAACGAGTTGACTAGCTCAAGCTAATTAGCTCTTTCGCCCGAGTGTCAGGTAAATTCCTCAATTTGGTGAATACTCCTACAGTATCTTATACTTTTTCTTATAACCAACTCAGTTCAATATTTGTCGAAGTTTTATTGACTACATGCGGCTCACACCCCACTACGTGGCTCATATAGTTATTAGCAGTTTGCAATAAAAAATATCTCCTTGAACTCACGCTGTGTACTCCCAGCCCAGTATAAAAGACGGCTTTAAAAAAATTTCCTATTGTATATGTACATACAAGTATTGGCAGCTCATGCATTTGCTTTTGTCTAACTGGTATTCATAGTATGCATGTGTACATATATATATATATATATACAATGTATGTATGTACATACATATGTATACTACATACATACTAAGTATTTATGGACTTCCATGAACTTCGTGGCTAAGTTAATAAGCCACTTAAACTGCATATTCCAAGTACATACTCGTATAAATATATGCTTAACATATTCCGTCAATTACTTTTGTATGTTTAGGCAACTAAATATTATGAAATTAT